ATCTTTCGGCCTACTCTGGCGCTACTTAAAACACACCTCGCCACTCTTCCGCTTTCAACCAGTGCGGTTTAGGGTTTGGGGTGTAGGGTTTATAGCTTAATTAGGGCTGAGGGTTTAGGCACCTAGTCTTGTCCACAAGTATGGTTCAGGGTTTTAATTAGGCGGCTTCAAGGGGTCAGTTTCCAACGGTTCACGGGATCGTGGCAATCACATCTGGAACACCGCGGGCGCTTTCAACGGGTTAGATGGGCTTCCTTGTTGCAGCCCTGAACTTGGAGCAAAGGTATCGGTTCAGGTGGAGGGCTTACGAAAATAAGGGACCCCTAATACAGACCCCAAATGAAATAGTAGGATCCCCTTATAACAAGCCGTAGTATCGGAAACCTCCCGGTCTTTGAGCCTCGAAAGCTTCAGTCTCTGGTGCAGTTGTTGCCAAACCGGCGCACACGCGACGACACTCAAAGGCGAGCAAAGACACTCAAAGACGAGCGAAGACGTGCGAAGGCGAGCTAAGACGATCTAACCCCCAAAGCCTAAACCCTAAAAAAATCCCAATCCTGAACCCTCAGAACCCCCAGAACGCATCGACTTGCCCGCTGCCCTCTTGGTGGCCAAAGTAGCTGAATCGTACACTTTACACTTCTTGGGATACTACAGCCCCCTGTAGAACTGAAAGTGTACACTTTTTTGGGTGCTTATGAAGTCCCCTATAGAACTGAAAGTGTACACGTTTTGGGGGGCTTATGAACTCAGCAACTAAGTGGCGCTGAGGCCATGGAAGCAGGTAAGAAAACCTCTGATCGGTGCCTCGGGGCACTGAAGGCGCGGAAGGGAGTTTGGAGTGTTGAGAGTAGGGCATAACGATATATATATATATATATATATATATATAAACATATATATATATATATATTCAAAATTATACATATATACACATACACATTGCGTTTTGGTTTATATTTATGATGATTAGTATTCTCATGCTTACACTTTATTAGTACTATTCTGTTGAGGGGCGGGTGGGGGTCTTAGGGTGGGGAGGGCCTACGGAGGGTGTCGGAGCAGGTTGTTTTTACGTGAAGGCGGTTTCTGCGTTGACCGTTTCTTCTTAAGGGGTGTTGCAAAAAGAGGTGAGCTTTGGGTTGAGGCTCGCCAGGCTCAGGGTTTTGGACTTAGGGTCGTTTTTTGCTTCCCCCCCTTTTTGTTTGCGTTCAGAGGTCCTAACCAGAGATCTGTAGGCAAAAGGCGAGGGCGGCGGAGTATCCCTGTCAAAGCATGGCCCATTTCTAGGCTGCCCCGCAGAACCTGCTACATTCTTACCATATAATACGCTTGCCACTGTCGTTGGTTGCGGGATTCGGCTCGGAGGGTTGGGGCGGCTAGGGGATTCGAGTTTGGTTTAGGCTTGGTTTTTGTTTTCAAGAATGGTGAGTTTTTTTTCGGTGTCTTCCAAAAGTTTGGGAAAAGGTTTGGGAGAGGGTAGTTAACGCTCATTTTCCAGGGTTTCGGGCGTACGCGAGAATCGTGCTCCCCTGGGGTTCAGGGTGCAAGACCCGAACAATACACCATTCAAGTTGGGGTTTGTGCCCAGGGTTGCCGAAATCAATTACCTCTGAAACTTTTGTAGCCCAGTGGTACCCTTTTCCCCCTTGTTGGTTCTGGGTTCCCTGAAGACTAACCAACCCCAAAAAGGGAAACATACTCCTTCTGTCAGACGAAGAAACGCTATTGGGGGTTACGGAAATAAGAGACCCCTAGTATTGACCCATTAAGGTACCCCTAAACCCTAAACCTTAAACCTTAAACCCGAAGCCCTAAACCCTAAACCCTAAATGCTAAACTAATTAACCCTAAACCCTGTTTTCAAGGCATGCTCCTTCATCAAGGGGCCGTAGCTGGGCTCTCGCTTCCGCAGGTGGAAGCAAAGAGGCAAAAGCAGGCCGGAACAGCCCACAAACTCAAGGGTTTGGGGTTTAGGGTTTAGGGTTTAGGGTTTAGGGTTTAGGGTTTAGGGTAGACACGCACACAGGGTCTCTAAGCCCTGAAAATATTGAACCCTCGACCGCCGGAACCACGCTGCCGAACGAAACGGTTGCGAACGAATCCTTTAAGTGTGATCCGATCAGAGTCTCCTGATTAGTTATGACGTGTCATTCGCGTTTTGCGTCGAGAAGACTGATCCGGGTCTGCAACCGCTAGACCCTAGCCCTAAACCCTAAACCCGACTGCATGGTGGGCCTAGGATCCTGGGCTTCTAGGGTTGAGGAATCGCGGCACACGCCCCTGAACAAGGGGAGGCGCAGCCGTGCGCGATGCCCCAAAACAGCGTAAGCAAGCCCCTCAACCCTGCGAAGCCCCAAGCTCCTTAAACCCCAAGTTTTGGATTTAGGGTTTAGGGTTTAGGGTTTAGGGTTTCAGAGTGCCAACGGGTGGGTTGCTAGCAAGGAACTGAAACAAATTCACCATGCTCAGGAGACTCTTAATTTATATCTCCATATCTGGAGTTCTCTAAGTTGGGGCTCTTTCTGGTGTACTTTGCCGTTAGATAGACAGGGACCCAAAAAAGGGACCCTAAGTTGAGAACTACCCATATTCTGGCAACTTCTCCTAAGCCCCTAAACACTAAACCCTACCCCCAAGCTCCTTATCAGCAAGCCAAAGGAGAGTCTATGTATATATCAATTCATTTACCCTTCCAAACCCTAAGCCCTAGACCCTAAACCCTAAACCCCAAATTAAATTTCAGTAAGGAGCTTGCTAGCCCCAGGCCACGGAAAAGACGAGCCAGCGGCCGGAGGAGCTTGGGGACGTTTTAGGGGGTTTAGCTAAAGCCCCCTAAACTCCCAACCCTAAACCTGAACCCTCAACTGCTAACCCTTAAATCCTAAACCCCAAACCCTAAACCCCAAACTCTAAACCCTAAACCCCAAACCCGAAACCCTAAACCCTAAACCCTGTCAGCCGCGAGCTTGGCAGCAGAGACGCCAGGAGCAACCTCCTCCTCTTCCATCGCAGCTCCCTCCCAGCGCCGAGGCAGAGTTTAGGGTTTAGGGTTTAGGGTTTAGGGCTTAGGGCTTAGGGCTTAGGGTTCTTAAACCCAAAACCCTAAACCGGTTCAGGGCTCACGGTCCGCGAAAGAGCACCTAGAACAGGCCCAAGCCCGAAGCCCTAAGCCCGAAGCCCAAGCCCTAAACACAGCCGCGTGGCCTTAAATCGGGGATCCGAAGTATGGGCAACAAATTTATAGGTCCCTTGCTGTATAGCCCTTATGCACGCTATACATAATGAGAGCCCATACTTCGGATCCCTATAAGCAAGGGTCATACCAAGGTCTTCGGGCTTGGGCTTTGCGATTGCTCCGGATGTGGCGTTCCGAGGTTTGCCAAGCCCAAAGGCGATTGCTGCTGAAGTCTTCGGTTCGGGCGTTTGGGGTTTTAGGGTTTAGGGTTTTAGGGTTTTAGGGTGTTTAGGGATTTAGGGTTTTGGGGTTTTAGGGGTTTAGGCTTTTAGGGTTTTTGGGTTTTAGGGTTTTAGGGTCTTAGGGTTTTAGCGTTTTAGGCTTTTAGGGTTTTGGGGTTTTAGGGAATTGGGGTTTTAGGGATTTAGGATCGGAGGTGAGGTCTGCAAGAGGGCTTAACACTGAACTTCAACGGCAAGACTGAGTGCATGAGGCTGCCTTGGGTCCTTCGAGCGTGACACATCAGACCCGAAACCCGAAACCCGAAACCCTAAACCCTAAACCCTAAACCCCTAACCCTAAACCCTAAACCCCTGAACCTCTAAACTTCCCCTAAACCCTAAACAGGAGGAAGCAGAGGCCAGGAAGCAAGCTCAGCAGGCCACCTTTGTATTTATTTCTGTTCAGAGTTTAGGGGTTTATAGGTTTATAGGTTTAGCGGTTTAGGGTTTATGGTTGGGAGGTTTAGGGTTCAGGGTGTAGGGTTTAGGGTTTAGGGTCTAGGGTTTAGGGTTTAGGATTTAGGGTTTAGGGTTTAGGATTTAGGGTTTAGGGTGTCAGACCGATCGCTAGCGCGCCCGCTCTTTGCAGAAGCCCAGCCCATTCATCTCCTTGCGCAGGAGGAAGCACAAGAAGCTCAGAAAAGAGTCGAGGAGTCGGTTTAGGGTTGAGGGCAAAGGATTTAGAGTTTAGGGTTTAGGGTTTAGGGTTTAGGGTTTAGGGTTTAGGGTTTAGGGCTAGGGACATTTTTGGGTGCTCCTCTGGGTCGCTCAGCCTCAGACCTTGGCACCTGTATCCCTAACCCCTCAGACCCCTCAGTCCTAAACCAGAAATCCGAAACCATGAGCCCATGAAACTCGCAGGAGGAACAAGCAGCGCAACGACGGCAGGCCATGTCGCTTACCCACCATGTCGCATTCCCCCACCGGCACACGCCTCCGTGTCGGCGCAGGGCTCTTACCCTAAGCCCTAAACCCTAAACCCTAAACCCTAAACCCTAAACCCTAAACCCTAAACCCTAAACCCTAAACCCTAAAGGCAGATATCTGCACCCTAAACCCCAAACCCTAAACCCTCAATCGCCTCCGTAGGCTGCGGCCGAGGCCGCCCGAGCGAGAGCTGAGGTGCAAGTTTTTTGCACTTATCCAAAGGCATATGGGGCACGTAGGGTTTAGGGTTTAGGGTTTAGGGTTTAGGGTTTAGGGTTTAGGGTTTAGGGTTTAGGGTTTAGGGTTTAGGGTTTAGGGTTTAGGGTTTAGGGTTTAGGGTTTAGGGTTTAGGGTTTAGGGTTTAGGAAAGTTTAGGGTTTAGGTTTAGGGTTGAGTATGTTTTTTGGTCAGGGTAAAAGGGTTCCGTATATTAATTTGGCGCCCTTTTGGGGATACCAACAGGCATATCAGGCAACACAGTATGTGGACCCTCACAACTAGTCACTATAGCTAGCAGACTCTAGGCCAGTCTTGCTCCAGCCTACGCTGCACGTGGTCACATGCTGGGGAAACACTGCCATAAGCTTAGCTCGATCCCGCATGACACTTTGAACATGCAAAAGGAGGAAGCAGAGGCTGCCAGAAAGCTGGCTGAGGTGGCCGCAGTTTCTCTTGCAAACCCTCTTCTTTGGCTGCTTCTGATCTTGTTCTTGGCCTTCAAAACCATGTGCAGGAGGAAGCCGAAGCAGCCAGAAGAAAAGTCCAGGTGCCGAATGATGTGCGTGATCTACGTGCAAGCAAAGTCCAAGTGAGCACTCGAGGAAGAAGAGGCCGCACGAAGACTGCAGGCCAGTCGCGCTCCAACCTACACTGCCTACGCTGCGCACATGATTACATGTTGACGCAATCCTGCTAGACTAGCACAGCACATCGAGCATGCAATAGGAGGAAGCAGAGGCCGCCAGAAAGCTCGCCGAGGTGGCCGCCATTGCTCTGGCACTCCTTGTTCCTGTCTGGTCCTGGCACAGCACGCAAACATGTGGAGGAAGAAGCTGAAGCAGCCAGAAGAAAAGTTCAGGTGAGAAGTGCCGTGCGTGATCTGAGACAGCAGCAAAGTGAACTGTCGTACGTGATCCCTGGCAGCTGCGCGACAGGAGGAAGAGGCGGCACGAAGACTGCAGGCCTTGTGCTCCAGCCTACGCTGCCTACGATGTTGTGCTACACACATGTCTGCATGCGTGCAAAATACCCCTAAGTCAGCTGGATATTGCATGGCACGTCGAACATGCCTCAGGAGGAAGCAGAGGTCGCTAGAAAGCTGGCGGAGGTGCTCACCATTGCGCTCACAAGTCTTGCTCTTGTCTGCTCTTGACACATCGGTGCTTAGAAGCATGAAACGGAGGAAGCGGAGGCGGCCAGAAAACGAATCGAGGCGTGCAGTGCTGGGATCGATCACAGCTAGCAGCAAGGTGAATTGTCATGTTCGCTCATAACGTACCGACAGGAGGAAGAGGCGGCACGAATACAGCAGGCCAGTCGAGTTCTAACCTACGCTGCTGTGTCGCAAACATGGTCACATGCTGGTGCAATAGTGCTAGACTAGTTGGTGTTAGCACGGAGCATGGAACATGCAACAGGAAGAAGCAAAGGCCGCCAGGAAGCTAGTTGAGGTGGCCGCAATTGCTCCGACAAAATTCTTTCTTGTCTGCTCTTGGCACTGCAGCGGGCAGCGCGTAAGCATGCGCAGGAGGAAGCAGAAGCAGCCAGAAGGAAAGCCGAGGTGTGCATGTAAATAGCTGCAAGGTTAACTGTCAGAGGTGTTCCCTCATAACGATTCGACAGGAGGAAGAGGCGGCACGAAGACAGCAGGCCAGTTAAGTTCTAACCTACGCCGTTCTGCTGCAGACATGGCCATGTTTTTCGAGGCTGCTAGACTAGTTGGTGATAGCGTGAAACATGGAACTTGCAACAGGAGGAAGCAGAGGCCGCCAGAAAGCTAGCTGAGGTGGCCACCGTTGCTGTGACAAATCTTGTTCTTGTCTGTTTTTGGCACTGCAGCGCGCAAGCATGCAGGAGGAAGCAGAAGCAGCCAGAAGAAAAGCTGAGGTGTGTGTGCAGCTAGCTGCAAGGTGAATTGTCAGAGGTGTGTTCCTTCAGAACGAACCGGCAGGAAGAAGAGGCAGCACGACGACTGCAGGCCAGCCGTGTTCCAACCTATGCCGTTGTGTTCCCTGGGTTTGAAACCGCTAGATCAGCTGGATATAGCACAGCACGTCGACGTGCAACAGGAGGAAGCAGAGGCCGCCAGAAGGTTAGCTGAGGTGGCCGCCAGTCCTCTGGCAAATCTTGAGTTTGTCTGCCCCTGGCACTGCAGCGCGGCAGCGCGTAAGCATGCGCAGGAGGAAGCAGAAGCAGCCAGAAGGAAAGCCGAGGTGTGCATGTAAATAGCTGCAAGGTTAACTGTCAGAGGTGTTCCCTCATAACGATTCGACAGGAGGAAGAGGCGGCACGAAGACAGCAGGCCAGTTAAGTTCTAACCTACGCCGTTCTGCTGCAGACATGGCCATGTTTTCGAGGCTGCTAGACTAGTTGGTGATAGCGTGAAACATGGAACTTGCAACAGGAGGAAGCAGAGGCCGCCAGAAAGCTAGCTGAGGTGGCCACCGTTGCTGTGACAAATCTTGTTCTTGTCTGTTTTTGGCACTGCAGCGCGCAAGCATGCAGGAGGAAGCAGAAGCAGCCAGAAGAAAAGCTGAGGTGTGTATGCAGCTAGCTGCAAGGTGAATTGTCAGAGGTGTGTTCCTTCAGAACGAACCGGCAGGAAGAAGAGGCGGCACGACGACTGCAGGCCAGCCGTGTTCCAACCTATGCCGTTGTGTTGCCTGGGTTTGAAACCGCTAGATCAGCTGGACATAGCACAGCACGTCGACGTGCAACAGGAGGAAGCAGAGGCCGCCAGAAGGTTAGCTGAGGTGGCCGCCAGTCCTCTGGCAAATCTTGAGTTTGTCTGCCCCTGGCACTGCAGCGCGGCAGCGCGTAAGCATGCGCAGGAGGAAGCAGAAGCAGCCAGAAGGAAAGCCGAGGTGTGCATGTAAATGGCTGCAAGGTTAACTGTCAGAGGTGTTCCCTCATAACGATTCGACAGGAGGAAGAGGCGGCACGAAGACAGCAGGCCAGTTAAGTTCTAACCTACGCCGTTCTGCTGCAGACATGGCCATGTTTTTCGAGGCTGCTAGACTAGTTGGTGATAGCGTGAAACATGGAACTTGCAACAGGAGGAAGCAGAGGCCGCCAGAAAGCTAGCTGAGGTGGCCACCGTTGCTGTGACAAATCTTGTTCTTGTCTGTTTTTGGCACTGCAGCGCGCAAGCATGCAGGAGGAAGCAGAAGCAGCCAGAAGAAAAGCTGAGGTGTGTGTGCAGCTAGCTGCAAGGTGAATTGTCAGAGGTGTGTTCCTTCAGAACGAACCGGCAGGAAGAAGAGGCAGCACGACGACTGCAGGCCAGCCGTGTTCCAACCTATGCCGTTGTGTTCCCTGGGTTTGAAACCGCTAGATCAGCTGGATATAGCACAGCACGTCGACGTGCAACAGGAGGAAGCAGAGGCCGCCAGAAGGTTAGCTGAGGTGGCCGCCAGTCCTCTGGCAAATCTTGAGTTTGTCTGCCCCTGGCACTGCAGCGCGGCAGCGCGTAAGCATGCGCAGGAGGAAGCAGAAGCAGCCAGAAGGAAAGCCGAGGTGTGCATGTAAATAGCTGCAAGGTTAACTGTCAGAGGTGTTCCCTCATAACGATTCGACAGGAGGAAGAGGCGGCACGAAGACAGCAGGCCAGTTAAGTTCTAACCTACGCCGTTCTGCTGCAGACATGGCCATGTTTTCGAGGCTGCTAGACTAGTTGGTGATAGCGTGAAACATGGAACTTGCAACAGGAGGAAGCAGAGGCCGCCAGAAAGCTAGCTGAGGTGGCCACCGTTGCTGTGACAAATCTTGTTCTTGTCTGTTTTTGGCACTGCAGCGCGCAAGCATGCAGGAGGAAGCAGAAGCAGCCAGAAGAAAAGCTGAGGTGTGTATGCAGCTAGCTGCAAGGTGAATTGTCAGAGGTGTGTTCCTTCAGAACGAACCGGCAGGAAGAAGAGGCGGCACGACGACTGCAGGCCAGCCGTGTTCCAACCTATGCCGTTGTGTTGCCTGGGTTTGAAACCGCTAGATCAGCTGGACATAGCACAGCACGTCGACGTGCAACAGGAGGAAGCAGAGGCCGCCAGAAGGTTAGCTGAGGTGGCCGCCAGTCCTCTGGCAAATCTTGAGTTTGTCTGCCCCTGGCACTGCAGCGCGGCAGCGCGTAAGCATGCGCAGGAGGAAGCAGAAGCAGCCAGAAGGAAAGCCGAGGTGTGCATGTAAATGGCTGCAAGGTTAACTGTCAGAGGTGTTCCCTCATAACGATTCGACAGGAGGAAGAGGCGGCACGAAGACAGCAGGCCAGTTAAGTTCTAACCTACGCCGTTCTGCTGCAGACATGGCCATGTTTTTCGAGGCTGCTAGACTAGTTGGTGATAGCGTGAAACATGGAACTTGCAACAGGAGGAAGCAGAGGCCGCCAGAAAGCTAGCTGAGGTGGCCACCGTTGCTGTGACAAATCTTGTTCTTGTCTGTTTTTGGCACTGCAGCGCGCAAGCATGCAGGAGGAAGCAGAAGCAGCCAGAAGAAAAGCTGAGGTGTGTGTGCAGCTAGCTGCAAGGTGAATTGTCAGAGGTGTGTTCCTTCAGAACGAACCGGCAGGAAGAAGAGGCGGCACGACGACTGCAGGCCAGCCGTGTTCCAACCTGTGCCGTTGCGCTGCCGACGTAGCCACGTGCTGGTTTGAAACTGCAAGATCAGCTGGATGTAGCACAGCACATCGAGCATGCAACAGGAGGAAGCAGAGGCCGCCAGAAGGAAAGCTGAGGTGACCACCAGTCTTCTAGCAAATCTTGGTTTTGTCTGTTCTTGGCATTGCAGCACATAACCATGCACAGGAGGAAGCAGAAGTGGCCAGAAGAAAAGCCGAGGTGCGCAGTGCTGGCCGTGTTCGCAACCAGCAACAAAGTGAACTATCATGCGTGGGTTGTGGTGCTCCACAACGAACTGACAGGAGGAAGTGGCGGCACGAAGACTGCAGGCCAGTCGTGTTTCAAGCTTCGTTTTTGCTCCACACGTGGCACTGCTAGATTACATTGCTGGAGTTAGCATTGCAGTTTGAACATGCAACAGGAGGAAGCAGAGGCCGCTAGAAAGCAAGCTGAGGCGTCTTTGCCTCTGCAATCGTGTTGCAAATCCTCCTGTCTCCCGATTGCAAACACTTTTTGACGCCGGCTTGACACAACATGTGGGCAGTTTTCTACGCCATGGTCCCTGTGGGGCACCCTAAATACGAGGCTCCGTGCTCTGATAGAACACCATAGTTTAGAGCGAACCCCATGACCAACAGAAAGAGCGATTGGCGAGTTGTTCTCCGCAAAATCCGAACCCCCAAAAAACTCAAACCTTCACAACCCCAAGCGCCAAACCCTACATCCCCGAACCCCTAACCTAACCCTACAAGCCCTCAACCCTAGAGTTGAATTCCTTTGGACCCCGGTGTATCATGTTCCTTTGTGGGTTTCGTGGCAGGAATCGACCCAGACAGCAGGCAACGCTCTCTTCCCTCTTGTGGATGCGTGGGGTTTAGGGGTTCAATGTTTGGGGGTTTAAGGGTTCAGGGCTTCGGGCTCAACCCAAAACCCGAAACCCTGAACCCTAAAATCCGAATAGTTGTGGGTTACCACCCTTTTTTTTTTGGGGGGGGGGAGGGGGGTGGGAGGGCTTCCGGAGCCTCGTGAAGGCTTGAGCCTTGCTTCAATGCACATCCGGAATGCAACTTTGGTGTGTAGGGTTTAGGCCTTAAGGTTTCGGGCTTAGGGTTTAGGGTTTAGGGTTGGGGGTTTGGGGTTTGGGGTTTAGGGTTTAGGGTTTAGGGCGGAGGGCTTGTGCCAGGGGATGGCAACATCCACCCTGCCGAGGGTCTGGAGGACCTGAAGGCAGCCGCTCCCTAGCCACGGCCAGAAGCCCGCGAGCCCTCATACCCAAGCCCTAAACCCTAAACCCTATACCCTACACCCTAAACCCTAAACCCTACGGCCCTTAAGCCCCTGAGCTCCCAGACCTGCTTCGTGTCATGGAATTCTTCAGGGACTTGACTAGTTATCACTACGCCCTAAAGTTCAAGCCCTGAGCCTCAAGTCCGAAGTTAAGCCCAGTCTCTGCGGTACAGGCTTTGGGGTCTGCGGATGTTGGGGCATCTTTTCTGAGGTTTTAGGGCATCTTGCAGCTTTCGTAGGCTTTGGCAATCCCTAAACCACACCCTAAAATCCTAAAGCCCCCACAATCCCTAAGAACCGCAAAAGCCCTTTTGGGCTTGGCATAGGTGCTGACAAGGCAACCTTGAACCACTTGAAGCCTTCTGTGACCACATCTCACGCACTTCGCTGGGGACTCGCTCAGCACGTGTCGCGCGGTATCTTCGGGTTGAACCCTAAAAACCTAGACCCTCAGAGCCTTAAAATCTGTCCTAGAAACACCCAAAGGTGAATCCCCCTCAAACGTCAAAACCTCAACCAGTAAACTCTAAACCCCTACCCCAAGAACCCCTCTGTAAACCCTGAACCCTGATCACCTACACCCTTGCGGCTGCGCCCTGCAAGCCCTGAACCCTTCAAAAGCTAGCGACCCCCCACCCCTCATACCTTCAGCCCTGCAATCCCTACACCCTGCAGCCCTACAATGCTACACCCGCCCCCCCAACTTAAACCCTAAGCCCCTGTCACTGAAACCCTAAACCCTAAACCCTAAACCTTAAACCCTAAACCTTAAACCCTAAACCCTAAACCCTAAACCCAATACCCCCCCCAACCTAAACCCCCGGGGGGTTTACGAACGCAGGCGGGTCTCCGGGAACTCCTGGAGGACACCTTCAGGTGCCCTGGGCTTCCGGGTTTAGGGGTTTAGGGTTTAGGGGTTTAGGGGTTCAGGGTTTAGGGCTTAGGGTTGAGGGTTTAGGGTTCCGGGAGCCCGCCCAGCCTAGGGAATTGTGCAACGCCTTGGGCGTCAGGGAGCGTAGATGGGTCATATACTACTATTTGCTTAAGAACCCCAAAAGAATAAAAAGTAGTAATTCCCATATTGCCCTTAATAAGGAAGAACATTTTTCATTTTTTCGGTGTTCTTAAGCAATTAGTAGTCTAGTGTGTTTTCAGTATGTGGGTTGTATAGGAGAGTGGATGGTGTCTGTACAAGGCACATAGAGTATGTAGCTAAACCCTTAAGCCCGCAACCCAAAAAAACTGCCCGGAGCCTTATGCCGCAAAAGCAAGCCCCTACAACCAAACAACCCCGAAAGCCCTCAACCCTAAATCCAACATGAACCTGGACCCATAACTTCACGAGACCTCTGCACCCTAAGCCAAGAAACCGTTGCTCCCTAGACCCTGAACCTTCCGAAGCCCTGAATATCACGAACAACAAACATAAGCAAAAGCAGTTGCAGCATTGCATAATCTGTAAACCCTAAACTCCAAGCTTTAAACTCTAACGCCCCCAAACCCTGAACTCTAAACCCCAAAACCCTAAACCCCAAACCCGTAAACTCTAAAACCCTGACCCTAAACAACCCCAAACTCTAAGCCCCAAAACCCTAAGCCCTCAACCCTAAACTCTAAACCCCAAAACCCTAAACCCTTAACCCCTTTGCCCTAAATCCCCAAACCCCCAAAACCCCACAACTAAGCCTTAAACCCCAAAACTCTAACCTTCGAGTTCTTAACCCGAAAGCCCCAAGACCCCTAAACCTTAAATCCGAAGCCCCAAAACCCTGAGCCCTAAACCCCAAGCCCCTAAACACCAAGGCCTTAAACCCTAAACCCCTCATCCCCTGAATCTCTACAACCCTAAACCCCAAAACCCTAGACCCCACACCCCGAACCCTAAGCCCTAAACCCCTACACCCTAAACCATGAGTCCCTAAACCCCCAAATTCCGAAACCCTAAACCCTACGACCCTAAACCCCAAGCCCCTAAACCCCTAAACCCTGAACCCTAAACCCCTAAACCCCTAAACCCCGAACCCCTAAACCCTAAACCCCCTAAGCCCCCAAGCCAAAGCCCCTGGACCCTAAGTAGGGCCTCGACCCTGATTTTGGCTTGCGATTTCTGGTTTCTTGAGGCTTTAGGGACTGGATTTGGGGTTTGGGTTTACGGATTCCTGATTTGGGGATTTAGGGTTTGGGGTTTAGGGATTCAGGGTTCAGGGGTTTAGGGTTTATGGCTGTAGGAATGTATGGTTGAATGGCCTTAGTAAGTCTGGCTTGGGAGCGTTTGGCACTGCAGGGCTTGTGGCTTTAAAGAGGGCCTCCAAGCGAGTCTCGAAATCCCCCCCCCCCCCCCCCCCCCCCCCCCCCCCCCGAAGTCCTCCAAGCCCTGAAGCCATAAAGCCTAAACTCCTTGCACCCTCACCCCCTGAATCCTAAGCCAAAGACACCCTAAACCCTAAACCCTAAACCCTAAACCTCAGAGAAGGTCTGGGGCGCTCACGGATGCCCTCGATTCACTCCCAGAGGAGGGTTGCGAGGGGTCGGTTGTGTGTTAAGCTTTGGGGAGCTTAAATGGGGGTTTAGGGTTTAGGGTTTAGGGTTTAGGGTTTAGGGTTTAGGGTTTAGGGTTTAGGGTTTAGGGTTTAGGGTTTAGCGGTACACCGCCGTCAAATGAGGTTTTCCGAAATTGGGGGTACCTTATTGGGGTCCTTTGAAGATCTGTATCGGGGGTCCCCTCTTTTTTCATAAACCCCATTTCGGGACCCTAGAATGCAAGGTCCAGTAACCCCTAAACCCTGAAGCCCCAGGCCCAATACCCGGCACCCAAAACCCGAAACCAGCGTGAATCCCTATAAGCCCCAATGTAGCCCTAATCCAACGCCCTAAACCCTCAACCCTACCCTTGTTCTCAGAACCCTCAACTCCCTTTACCCCCCCCCCCCCCTCCCCCACGTCCCAACCTTTTCTACAATGCGCTCCCTATATAAGGCGCCAGGAACTCGAACAACCAATCTCGAAACCCAAAACCCTAAACTCTAAGCCTACTCCTTCCCTAAATTGCCTCTTATATGTTTGAGCCCTCCGAATACAACAGAGCAGGGGCTGAGCGACTCCCTGAGAAACCAAAACGTCCAGGATCCGCCAATGATCCCGCCAGCGGTTGCGGCAGGCTTCCCCCGAACTAATGGCCGCGGGGGCTAACCAGGTTTCCCGAAATACCCCTGAAGTTTCCCTTTCGTCGACCGCTTTGAAGGGTTGTAAAGGGCATATAGGATTTTCAAACCTGTAAACCCTAAACCCTAAGCCCTGTTAACCGCCCCCGTCAGCACATCCTATGCCAGGCAGAGACACCTGCGAGGCTGCAGAGGATCTGGGAGACTTGAAGGCATGTTGGGGGGGTTTCGTCCGATCTCAACACCTGAGCGATTGAGACCCTAAACCCCTGAGCCCTAAACTCCTGACCCCAACCACCCTAAACCCTAAACCCTAAACTCGGGACCCCAACCACCCAAACCCGTAAGCCCTAAGCTCCAAAATCCTGTTGGGCTCCGGGCAAAGGGCTTCGAAACTCAAGTGCCCAGATCCCCGACCGAAACCTGCTGACCAAAAACATCTGAACGCAGCAGCTTTGCACCCCGAACCTCTTGGGGTCCTGCCATCAGGGTTAGGGTTTATGGTCTAGGCTCTAGGGTTTAGGGCGTAGGGTCTAGGGTTTAGGGTACTATCTAGAAAAGGGAGGCGAAAGCTGCATGTCAGGCCTTCAGGGACGAGCTTAGGTTTGCTTCCCCTCAGTACCGCATCAACCCCCCCTAAACCCTAAAACCGCAAGACCCAACTCCCCTAGACCCCCCTCAAGCCCTAAACCAGAAAATCCGCACACCACCAAAAGCCCTCAAGCCCCAAACCCTTACCCTAAGCCCTAAACCCAAACCCCTAAACCCCTAAACCCCAACCCCGAAACCCTAAGAGTTCCCTGAAGCAGGCCGGTCTGAAGGAGCTCTTCCAGGACACCTTTAGGTGACCCGGCTGTAAGTTTTGGGCTTGAGCGTTCAGATCTTGGGAGGCCCCAAACCCTAAACCCTGTACACCCTAAACCCTGTACACCCTAAACCCTAAACCCTAAACCCTAAACCCCCGATTTTGGAGCTTTGGGCCTGGAATTGCTAATCTTCCCCAAGCCCCAAGCTCTAAAGCCTAAGCTTGGAGTTTTGCGTTTGGAGTTGCAAGCTTTTTGGGTTTTGCGTTCTAGGCAGGAAACTTGGCAGCAAACCCTGAACCCAGACCCCTGGGAGGATCCAAAAGATAGATCACGTTAAGGGTTTTTAAGACCCCACAGTATAGTACTACGTGGGGGCTCTCTTTTTCTTAGGGTAGCTACACGTTCCCTTAACAGCGGCCCTTAAATGGGGCCCGCTTATATACCCCTTATATACCCTATGCAAATTAAGGGCCCATACTTCAGAACCCTTTAACGGAGGTAAAGGACCATATCAAGGGCCCATGTAACTTCCCTTAGATTTTTGGATACTTGAAGGGGTCTGGGAATCTAAGCCCTACGCTGACAACCCCGAAACCTTCGAACCTCCGAGCATGCACAGAAACCCGGGCCTTAACCTGAGAACCCAGAATGCTAAGTTTAAGGTTCAGGGTTCAGGGTTTAGGTTTTGTTCACCTAAACCCAAAAACCAAGACGTAGGGCAGGTGGAACCTTTGCCGAACCCTTGCACTGAGGTCTGGGGCATTGGCGGATGCGCTCAACTTGCTTCCAGAGGCCCGGCGTGGCTCTTGCAGCTCCATGATGGTCTCACTCAGGGGTAGCCTACCTGCAGGGGACGGTGCTATCACACAGGCTTGACAAAAGGGGGGACCACTATACTAAACCCTGTAGTCCCCAAAATCCTCAAAACCCTCAAGCCGCACTAAAGCCTGAAATCCCCATGGCTCAGAGTTCGGGGCCCTTTCTTAGTCTCTGGTACAACAGACCCCAAAAATGAGATCAAACCTCAACCCCGAACCCTGAGGACCCCATTTGAAAGGCATCGTGCTCGCAGGGAATGCATGAGGTACCCTGTCGAAGCCCTTGAAGGGTATCAATAGGCTTAGGAGCCTGGAGCGGGTGTGCCGAAAAGCCTGGCTTGCGGGAGACGGGTCAGCGTGTCCCCGGAAACCCCTGGGAGGATCCAGAAAGTAGATCCCCTTTTAAGGGTTGATAAAGTAGGCTAGGGTACGAATTGGCGGTTCTACTTTGTGGATCCTCCTCGAATTTTGGGGCCCAGCCGCTCGCATCAGTCGCCTCCCGAGGCAGGCAGGTCGTGCTTGTTTCGGGGAGTTTGTTGCCCTAAGGGTCCATGTACCTCATTATTATAGACTTGGGCCCCAAAGACACTATATAGGAGGTGCTTTAAGGCCCAAGTATTCCGTACTAAGGTACATGGACCCTTGGGGTTGCAGACCCGGAAGGGAACTCGACACCGCATCTTTCTGCTTTTGCTGGGTGCAAGCTTGTCGGTTGCTAGTTGAGACGTAGATCCCTTGGAGTGTTAGATACGTTTGGAATCTGATTCTTGGGGTGTGGGGGGGGGGGGGGGGTAACAAACTTGTCGAATCTTACTCGGGAAGTAGGGCTGAGAATCCCTCGGACCGAGTTCTGTTGGCATCATATTTCTGCCACAGAGAGAGCACGGATGACGCAGAATGAAGTGGAGGAACGCTGGACTCATGACATGGCATTCTTCAGGCGCTGTGCTGAGAACAACTGCATGATGCAGAATGGCCAGAATTGCAATAGAGGAGGGCCGGACTGCACAGATGGCGGAGAACGCATGGCTGTGGAGGGAGAAGGATGCCGCGAATAAACCCTAAACCCTAAACACTAAACAACCCTGAACCCGTAGGGTTTAGGATGCACCCCTTTCCCTCGAGCTTGAAGCCCTGAAGCCTTGCACCCGACACCTCTGATCCGCCCTGAGCCCTGACTCCCTCCCTCCACCCGGCTTGGAGGCGCAAACCATGAAGCCTCGTTTCCCCCAAACCCCGCCCTAAGCCCCCCTAGACCCTCAATCCTAGACTCCGAAACCCTTTGCAGCCCCCCTACTAGGATGGGCTAGTACACCCTATGATCCCTTAGAAGGGCCCTTTGAAGGGTTGATTTTCGGGGATTACAAGGCCGAATAGCCCATCCTGGTAAAGCAAAGAGCGGGCTGTCTAGGAGGCGCCTCCTCCCATGCAGCCGCCGGCAGGAGGCCCGCACAGGGACGTGGAGCCCAGCGAATTGACTCATTGAAGGGTGAAGGGTTTAGGGTTTAGGGTTTAAGGTTTAGGCTTTAGGGTTTAGGGTTTGGGGTTTAGGGCTTAGGGTTTAGGGTTTAGCGGATGAACCCGGGATGGTTGAAGGGCATACGAAGTCGGGGTTTCCACACAAGTAGGGGTTTTGTTCTACCCTAAACCCTAAACCCTAAACCCTAAACCCTAAACCCTAAACCCTAAACCCTAAACCCTAAACCCTAAACCCTAAACCCTAAACCCTACACCCTACACCCTACACCCTAACCCTAACCCTACCCCCTAAACCCTAAACCCTAAACCCTAAACCCTAAACCCTAAACCCTAAACCCTAAACCCTAAACCCTAAACCCTAAACCCTAAACCCTAAACCCTAAACCCTAAACCCTAAACCCTAAACCCTAAACCCTAAACCGTTACGGGAGTTGGAGGCGCAGGTGGGGGTTTAGGGTTTCGAAGACCACGGGCAGCATGAGCTGACAAGTGCACGTCCGAATCCGGGCGATAAAGCCATAGCCACTATAGTCCTCCATGTTGGGTTTAAGAGGGCGGTTTAGGGTTTAGGGTTTAGGGTTTAGGGCTTCGGAAACCCTAAGCCCCCTTGTCCACCCCTGTTGGGTGTCAAGAGCTGGAGACTTGCCAGACACAGCGAAGTAAAGCAGCATAAGTTGACTGCATCTTTCGTGGCGGGCCCATAAATCCCAAGCGGTTTAGGGCTTAGGGTTCGAAATGCCGAAATGCCAAGGCTGGCAGTCTAAGAGTGTTTTCAGCCAGTATGGTCCTCTTGGTAGCCCAGTGGCACCCTTTTGCCCTTTTCGTGGTTCAAGGTTCCCTTATAAAGTAGCCAACCAAAAACGTGCACCCTTTCCAAAAAACATGCATATATATATATATACATATTATATATATATAATCATAATATATATATATATGGTTACTGGGTTACCAAGTCCTTACAGTATAGAGTTGAGGGTGGACTAGTGCCAGATAGCGAAGCGGAAGCATGTGCAGCAAAGCATTTTCAGGAGATGGCAGCCTTGCCATCCACACGAAGGCCAGGGACGCTGGAAGTTGTTCACCCAGACTTCGGGATTAAGACCCAAGGCTTTACGACCCGAAACCCTCAGGTCTAAACCTCAAGCTAACCCTACATCTGAATTCTCGTCTTTCCGGCTCAGGGGTGTAGGTCTTAGGGTTGAGGGTTGGGTCCCTCTCCTAACACCCAAACCCTAGAACCCTAAACCCTAAACCCCCACCCGAAGAATGCGAAAGAACTGGATCCCTGAATTATTTTGGGAACTGAGAAGGGCCGTTAAGGTAGGGGCACGAAAGGGACCCCCACACACCTAACCTAGGGAATTACAGCATTTTAGGGTTTTCTGGTTTAGGGTTTTAGGGTTTTAGGGCTTAAGGCTTGAAACCCTAAACGTTTAGGGTTCAGGGTCGAGGGCTTGTGGTTTTAGCCTTTAGGGTTTAGGGATGTTTAGAGCTCCGGGGTTCCTAAGTCCCCAAACACTTAAGCCCCCCAAGATGGCTTAGGCGGTTTGGGCTCCTATAACCCTAAACCCCTAAACCCTAAACCCTAAACCCTGTGCCCAAAACCCTACACCGTACATCGATCAACCCGAAGCCGTCTTAGACCCCGAACCCCTGTGACCCACAGCTTCCCAGGCCGCAAATGTGCTTCATACCTGGGCGTAGGGTTTAGGGTTTAGGGTTTAGGGTTTAGGGTTTAGGGTTTAGGGTTTAGGGTTTAGGGTTTAGGGTTTAGGGTTTAGGGTTTAGGGTTTAGGGTTTAGGGTTTAGGGTTTAGGGTTTAGGGCCTCAACCACGACACGAAACACGTTCAGTTCAGGCCCACCATCTCGATGACATCAAGGACCTGAAGGCGCGTCTTCAACGTTTCCCTGAACATGTTCCCCAAGGGTCCATGTACTTTGTGGTACTTTACTGTAACTTTAGATCCTTACCTTTTTTGGGTTTATTGGGTTTCTTATTAAGGCAGCTAAAAGTTTAATTTATGGCTACCTTCCTGAGTGCAGCCAAGTGTACCTTATGATTCGGAGATTACATGGACCCTTAGGGGTGTTTTAGGATGCCCTGTGGTGTCCTCGTCCCGATTCCTGATTTTAGGTTCGGTGCCCGTACAAACCACCCCAAAACGAACCTTCTCTTCTCAGGTACTGGACACACTTCTCTTGCTTTTGCGCAGCGTAGCAGCGCTTACGCGCCTCCTGAAAAAGCAGAATCCCCTAGAACCTCAACCCAAACACCCTAAGCCCTAAGCCAAAAAAACCCAAAAACCGAAACTCTAAGCCCGAAACCCTAGTAAACGAACCCTAAATCCTAAATCTCGAGCCCGGACCTATTGAAGCACCCAGGGCCGCATCGGATTTTGGGGCTTCGACTTTGGTTTGGGTTCTCGCGTTGCGGGTTGAAGATTCAAACGCTGAAGGTTCAAGGTTCAGGGTTTAGAGCTTAGAGGTTTCAAGGTTTAGGGCGTTAAGGGTTTTCGGTTCACGGACTCTTCATCCTATGCTGGCGACAATCCCCTGGCCCGAAACCCCAAACCCTACAAGGAGCCCCCTCCCCTTCCCTAGTTATAAGGAGAGTTATACGGACCTAAATGGGCTTAAAAGGCTCCTGGATTAGGTTGTAGTCCCTGAACTACAGTTCCTTGTAAGCCCTAAACCCGAGTATCAGGCCCTAAACCCTAAACCCTAAACCCGAAACCCTAAACCCTAAACCCTATAAACCCTAAACCCTAAACCCTAAACCTACAGGCTGACGTCAAGGATCTCCTTCAAGGCACCTTCAGGCGACCGGACCTCTGCTTGTGGGCAGCAAGAGCTCAACCCAAGGCTCTAAGCCCTCGTTGCCCCCAGGACCTGGGCAAAGGAACCTCATCCCAAGAACCCAAGAACGCAAGAACCCAAGAACCCAAGAACCCAAGAACCCAAGAACCCAAGAACCCAAGGGTTGAGGGTTGCGGGTTGAGGGTTGAGGATTTAGGGTTTAGGGTTTAGGGTTTAGGGTTTAGGCTACGTGGCCATGAGTTTAAGGAAAGCACTTCCTTCGTCGGGCAGGAGGTTGTGGGGCTGGGCTGAAGGCTGACGTAGGGTTTAGGGCAACGCGCCAGCGCACCCTCAGTCCTTAATCTGGAGGTTGTTTAAGGGTTTAGGGTTTAGGGTTAGGGTTTAGGGTTTAGGGTTTAGGGTTTAGGGTTTAGGGTTTAAGGTTTAGGGTTTAGGGTTTAGGGTTTAGGGTTTAGGGTTTAGGGTTTAGGGTTTAGGGTTTAGGGTTTAGGGTTTAGGGTTTAGGGTTTAGGGTTTAGGGGTTCTGAATCTGAGGTCCCATGTGGGAGATCCTGCTTGAAGTTGCATGGGTGGTTTGTGCAAGGTCAGTACTACCGTACTTATAAGCCCACTTCTAACTACCCATGACCCTTCAAGTATGAAATGCCAAGGATACCCTGAATCCTAAGCCCTGAGCCTAAACCCTAATCCCTAGCCCCTAAACCCTAAACCCCAATTTGGGAACGACCTGTGGAAGAGGTCCGGGGCCCTGGCCGAAGCTCTTGACTCGCTTGCGGAGGCTCCCGCGGGGGTTTAGCGGTTTAGCAGCTCAGGGCGTATATAGGGTTTAGGGTTTAGGGTTCTTAGGGCATCCGATTTTCCTGTTTCAGCTTTTCGGTTAAAGGTAAATCGTTGACGCGTCACCGTCTGATTTACCGAAATCTGGGCAGGCCTATGGGACCTGAGACTTTCCTCCTTTGGCTTGAGAGGATTCAGGTTGGCAATGAAGCCCCAAACCCCAAACCCTTAGCCATACGCACGGGCCTTGGCCTGATGAAGCATCTTGACAACAGCTGGGTAGGACCTCAGGAGTGTTAGGATAAACCCTGAAGCTTAGGGTTTAGGTCTGACTAAAGCCTAGACCCTTGGTGCATGTCTCCTGGGACCGGTTTAAAGAGGCAGATTTTATGGGACCAAAGGTGCAGAGTTCAAGGTTTCCCAATAAGCTAGGGTTTAGTGTGATCATCGATCCGGAAGGATAGGCGCTTCTGAGTATGGAAATCTACCCTCTAAAAACGCCAAACCCTAAACCTTAAACCCCAACCCCGAACCCCAAACCCCAAACCCTAAACCCCTAAACCCCTAAATGAAACCCCTAAACCCTAAACCCCTGAACCCCTAAACCCCTAAACCCCTACGTAAACCCCTAAACCCCTAGACCCCTAAACCCCTAAACCCCTAAACCCCTAAACCCCCAAACCCCAAACCCTAGACCCTAAACCCCACACCAAAGCATTTTCTTGCCCAGATCGAACTCAACGATAGCCCCATCGAGCTGAATGAGCTCAAGGCGGGAGCTCGATCGGGTTTAGGGTTTGGGGTTTTAGGGTTTTAGGGTTTTAGGGTTTTAGGGTTTAGGGTTTAGGGTTTAGGGTTTGGGGTTTGGGGTTTGGGGTTTGGGGTTTGGGGTTTAGGGTATCTTGGCAAGATCCTTGGCTCTTTTTAAAGTCTCAATCCCGAAAGCCTGATGCGGTTGAAGGTGTTAAGTTTTAGGGAGGGCAGAGGGCTGGCAGATCAGCCTCCGCGGGTATTGGTGTATAGAGGGGTTGAGTAGGTTTTTTTGGGGTTTCTAGGATGCCCAGTAGTGCCCTTATTCCCTCTTGGGGGGGGTTTAGGTTCCCTTATAAACCCCTTTTAAGCAAAAAAGGGCACCCTTTTTAGTCCCAGGTTACTGGGCAACCCAGGTTTAGTTAGGGCTCATGACTAGAGACCCCAGCGGGGCGTTAGGTAAATTTGGGTGCTTAGGGCTGGGGTTGGTGGCCCAAAGCTCACGCCCTCAATCCTGACCCCTCCCCAAACGCTGGGCCGTAGACGCCAATGGTTTGCACCTTGCAGAGGCCCAACTTCAACTTAGTATAGGGGTCGGAATAATTACTAATAGTATTCCCCTACTTAATAGTATTCCCCTACTTATAATTATACCATAGTACCCCCAAAAACCCCATTCTACTTATTAAGGCCCCTGTATTATGCACGAAAAAGGTGTTCCGGGCGTACTTGGAGGTTCTATAGCTGTACATATAACCTAGTTAGGGGACTTAGGCGCTGTGTAAGTACAGTTATAGTTGTGGAATTAGAAGCACCCATGAACCTCCCAAGTAGGGTTGAGGGGTTTACTGTAGGGCCTGGGGCAGTTTCGGGCTTAGGACTCTGAAAGCCCGGATCCCTAAACCCTAAACCCCAAACCTTAAACCCTAAACCCTGAAGCCTGAGCCCTGAACCCTGAACCCTAAACCCCTAAACCCCTACCCCCCTAACCCCCTAAAACCCTAAACCCTAAACCCTAAACCCTAAACCGGAACCATCCTGAAAGCTGGCAGGCCGATCTACAAGACCTTTTCAAAGACGCCTGCACGTAGCACCCTCGGCTGCCCAGACTTCTTTTTCTGTGTAGATAGCCTAAGCCTTAGGGTTCAGGGTTTAGGGTTTAGGTTTTAGGGTTTAGGGTTTGGGGTTTAGGGTTTAGGGTTTAGGGTTAGGGTTTAGGCCTAAACTTTAACCCTAAACCCTAAACGCCTTTCAAGACCAACTTTCAATTGGAGACCTGACCCACTGCGCAGAATTCTTTGCTTGTCAGCTGCGCTCGCGTGGGCCTGTGGTCGGATTTTTCGGGTTTGGGGTGTTGGGTTTTGAGTGTTTGGGGTTCAGGGTTTAGGGTTTAGGGTTTAGGGTTTAGGGTTTAGGGTTTAGGGTTTAGGGTTTAGGGTTAGGGTTTGGGGTTTAGGGTTTAGGGTTGAGGGTGCCCAAAGTCCAGTCCTTGACCAAAAGTCGATCTTTCATGCTTGCAGATGCAGCCCTGAACCCGAAAGCTGGAGGTAGCGACACACAAGCCCTTGTTACCCTCGAACTCCACGTGCCTGAACCCTAAAATCCTCAAACTCCTACTTGGAGGTTCATGGTACTTGTTAACCAGTCATAACTGTACTTCTAACCGTACTTATAACCATATTAGGGCACTTAAGGGGCTTATAAGTGGGTTATAAGCAATTACAGTAACAATTGGTTACAAAGTACCATGAACCTCCAAGTAGCCTGCCAAACCACTGTTCGCCACGGCCTGAGGCCTCTCACGGCCACCAAATTGTTTAGGGCTTCGAGGGTTTTATGCTCCGCACACCCTGAACCGAAACCCCGCAATCTAGCCAGACCCTTCAATTAAACCTAAACCCTAAACCCTAAACCGCAAACCCTTGAATGAAACCCTAAGCCCTAAACCCCGTGCCTCGGCCGAGATCTGGCTTCCTGGCGGAAGCTCTGAACCTCGTGTCCGAGGAGCACCATGCGCTTAAACGCCCCCACGGCCCTGAAGCCAGGGCTTATTCGCGTCACAGATGCACGACGCCAAGGATTAAGTTCGCGCGTGCGAGGAAGCCAATCGGTTTGGGGTTTCGGGTTCAGGGTTTGGGGTTTAGGGTTCAGGGTTCAGGGCTTAGGGCTTTCGGTTTTCAGGTGTTACAGGTTTGGAGTTCAGATAGGGTTTAGGGCGAGAGTTGGGATTGTAACCTGCTGAATGTAGTCTGAAGCTGGTCCATACATTCCCAAAGCCTAAGCCCTCAACCCTGAACCCTAAACCCTCAACCCTAAACCCTAAAAGCCCTCCAGGAGGGAGCGCTGGCGCCGTTGCAGCACTAGAAGGAAGGCTCGCCCCGTGCCGGCTTCTGCACGCTAAACCCTAAACCCTAAACCCTAAACCCCAGAAGCCTTCGCTCCCACACCTACCCACCAGGATGGGCTATGATACTCCTATAATCCCTTGAAGGGCTATTTTACCCTATAATCCCTTGAAGGGCTATGATACCCTATAATCCTTAAAAGGCCCGTTATAGGGTTCATTATGGGGATTTTAAGGCCTAGTAGCCCATCCTGGCATAAACGCTTCAGCATTGAGGAGCTTCATAGAGGGAATGTCCACGCTGTTTACGGTAGTCAAGTTGATTGAGCAGACAGATGGAGTCCAATGCACTGAAGAAGGTCCTTTGGTGTCCAAGGAAACCGGTGAACCCTGAAACTCAGGGCCTCATACCCAACCAAACCCTCAACCGTAAACCCTCAATGGTAAGCCCTAAACCCGAAACACTAAACCGCGTGGGGCCGTTGACTAAATTAGGCGGTGATTATGGGTACCACGCCCTGCGCAGCTCGGGTTGGCAGCAGACTGATGAGTCTCACAGAGCAAGCCCTGCGGCTTGTGCTGCTATTTGTGCCTATAAGTCTTAACCCGTACACCTTACTTAAAAAGCTTCTAGATATACACCAAGCCCTAAACTTAGGTTCTGCAAGGATCACGTGAATCAATCCCGGAGCCCTGCCAGGCGTTTGTCCGTTCTGTTTTCCAGCGGCAGCGACGCGAGGCTTGGCCGCTGCTGGTTGGGGTTTAGGGTTTAGGGTTTAAGGTTTAGGGTTTAGGGTTTAGGGTTTCTCATTAAGATTTGTTTGGTGCTTCTGTTTTCTCATGAGCATGTTTTTGCTCGCTGCTTATCTTGACGTCCATTCTGTGACTATTCATTTGGTTTTGGTATTGCGATTGTTCTTGCTAGTATTATTTGTGCCTTTTCGTGTTAGTTTTACTGTGTGAATATCAGATTGCTCTAGATATATGGATCGTTATCGTTATTCTGGTTAACCAGCTTGATCATTATGATTGCTAGCGCTAGTTGGCGGGAAGGCGTTTGGAGCTGTAGGGGTTTGGGATTTCGGTGGGGTCTAAAACAATTACGCAACTTTAAGCGGTTCAATGATAGGACTTCCCTCAAAACGCCTGGAAGAGCGCAACAACCAACCTAAACCCAGCCATCAAACCCCAAACCCCAAACCCCAAACCCCAAACCCCAAACCCCAAACCCCAAACCCCAAACCCCAAACCCCAAACCCTAAACCCTAAACCCTAAACGAGTTGCTTCAGCGACCAGGCAGCGCTGAGCAAGCAGCTTCCATGGCGCGTGGGCCGTGCAACTCACCTCGAGTTGCCACGAACAGCAGGGCCGACTTTTAGGGGTTTGGGCTTAATTAGGGTTTAGGGTTTAGGTTTTTGGTTGAGACAAGAAGGCTTAAGTAGGGTTTGGGTTCTTGAGCTTTGGGTGTGTGTTTTGGATTTTGGCCCTTTAGGGTTTAGGGGGGCAAAGCGCTCTTGGGTTTAGGATATTAAGGTGTCCTTAAGCTTGGGAGTTTAGGGTTTAGGGTCTCCGAGTAGTAGAGTAGGTAACCTTTAACCTTTTTGGGGTAGTATAATCCCCTTATAGTCCCAAAGGTTAGCCTTGAATTCCCCCAGGTTACTGGACAACTAAGGTATTAGTTTTGATTTGACAAGTCTCGTGGTTTTGTAGGCGTACGGCGGGTTTAGGGTTTGGGGATGCCCTCGAAGACCCCCTCCTCCTGCACCGGCAGCTCGGTATTCTAACCTTAGGGTTTAGGGTTTAGGGTTTAGGGTTTAGGGTTTAGGGTTTAGGGTTTAGGGTTTAGGGTTTAGGGTTTAGGGTTTAGGGTTTAGGGTTTAGGGTTTAGGGTAGAAGGCCTTTAGAAGCCTGTAACCCCACAACCCTGGGGCTTGGTGTTTCGGGGTTCACAAACACTCAATGGTGGCCTTTTTCCCTTTTTCTGAACCCTAAACCCTAAACCCTAAACCCTAAACCCTAAACCCTAAACCCTAAACCCTAAACCCTAAACCCACAGAGAATCCACCGGACAAAAAGGTTACCGAGCAACCTTCAGGTTCCTTGTGCCAGGTTGCTGAGCTTTTCGCACCTGAAGCAAGAAAATTGCAGCCTGAACAGCAAAACTGCAAATCCTTTAGGTTTGTGGTCAAGGGTTGCAGGTCTATGGTTTAGGGTCAGGGGTTCAAGGGTTCGATTGAGACCTCCAGCTGACGCAGGGTTGAACAATCGCCTTGCTTGTTCGTGCGCAACTCGCATATAAGGTAACATATATAGAGCTCCGCCGAACGGCGGAAACCTGCTGGGTCTTCAAGAGACCGTCAGACAGGCCAAGTGCAAGTCACCTCGAATTGCCCTGTGCAAAAAAGAGGCTGCCGCGAGTAGGAATAGGGTTCCTCCCCCAAAAGCCGGAAGTCCAGATCCTCAATCACATGACCTTCAAAAGACACCCTAAACTGTTGCCCTTATGTCCCAGGTGAAGTAGGGGCTCCAATGATAGAACTTGAACAGAACTATTGGGTTTGATTCGGGGGGTTGTTATTTAGGGTGTAGTCTTTACTGTGGTCCAGGCTCTTCTTTGCATCATAGACCCTACACCCCTACAATACTAAACCCTAGCTGGTGGGTGCTTTTGCCTGTTTTGGTTTGGGTGGGTCCTACGGTTTGTGAACTAGCTTGCTCCTTTTTGATATACATCAGACACTGCTTTACAACAGGCCCCTGTCTTAACGAAACGCCTGTGTTTTTGCAACCAGGTACAGTGACAGCGCTGGAAAAGAAACCTCCTAGCTTTGGCGTGCAGGGTTTAGGGCCTTAGGGGTCTCGGTTTAGAGGGTTAGAGGGTTTTAAGGGTTTATAGGGTTTGGGCGGTTTGGGCTTCTGACCGTTGTTCTGAACTAGGTTGCTCTGGGTCCTGGTCAGATGGCTCGAAGATACTCTGTGGGAAGGCATCCCTTGCTTCCACAAATCATCTGAACGTGCCAAGGGATGCCCGAACCCTAAACCCTAAACCCCAATTTTCGTGCAACACCAATCCGCGTCTGAAGGGCTGAATAAGTTTTGGGGCTGCAGCCCAAGGCTCAGGGGCTTGCTCAACGCTTTTCTTATCTTTCTGAACCCTAAACCCTAAACCCTAAACCCTAAACCCTAAACCCTAAACCCTAAACCCTAAACCCTAAACCCTCCGACATGAGAACCTGCATGTCGCCTGTTCAAGAGCTGTCTGCAGTAGACTGGGGCGGGGAGGAAGCGGGGCCAATAGCCCTGTAGCTGTGCAGTTTACAGTTTAGGCTCTGAGGTGCAGGTGCAGATGCATGTCTCCTCTTTGCTGCAGAGCAAAACTACCGAAATTCTGGAGTCTTGATTCATAGGCGGCAATCCATGTCCATGTCTTCGCAGTTCATCTTCGTAGTGCAAGACGAAGTGCAGGAAGCTGGTCAAGAGAGCATCAAGGTCAGAACAGGTAAGCAAGCCTCCGTGTCTTAAACAGGGGGCAGCACGAAGTCTTCTTAGGGTTTAGGGTTTAGTGATTAGGGCTTGCAGCTGCGTCCTTTGTTGCCTCGCCCCTGTGCGCTGCTGCGGTTGCCAGAAGAAAGCGGGGAGACCCAGGGCTGCTTTACGGTTCACCTGGGGCTCCCATTTGCCGACTATCCTCGGGGGGGATATGCTCTGTACTTATAGGGGTTACGGCCTACGAATTTCTAGCCTTTTTTGGGGCGCCACAGGTAGGGTTTAGTGGCTAGCCAGGGCTTCGGGTGCTTGATGGGAACTGCGCCTACGCCCCCTAAACCTGTCCACATCCCCCAGACTCCAATTAGCCTATAGCCCTAAATTCTAAACTTTAAACCTTCAACCCTAAACCCCCCACACTACAGCCAGGGGTATTTTGAGTGCTCAGACAGGAAGTGAGTGAGACCCACTGAGAAGTTGAGGGGCTTAGGCTCAAATAGTCTCGAACTTCGGTTCAAAGCAAAAAATAGCGCTTGGTGACAGACCCTGTAAGTTTGGGCGCCATGGTAGCTGTCAAGCTTGAACACGCAAATCTGGCGCAGCATCAGGCCAGCGTCATGCAGCAAATGCGCGACTTCTGGATGGAAACGCATCTCTGCGACGTTGTGCTGAAGGACAACGATGGTGCCGAGCATCGCGCCCACACGGCCCTGCTTTCTGCTGCAAGCGTCTATTTTCGAAAGCTCTTAGGTGGTTCCTTTCTAGAAGCAGACCGCGTGCAACGAAAAGAGCCCGTGGATATCGCTGCATCTAAAGCAGCAACGTCCGCCCTGCTGGACTACATCTATGGTGGTCAGCCAGAGGTGAACGTACAAACTGGTCTTGAACTTCTGCGCCTGGCACAAGCTTATGACTTGCCCGCGTTTGCAAGTGCTATTGAGACTGGCCTTTGCGCATCCATAAACAGTGTCACAGCTCTGCAAATCCTACAAGAAGCGCATCTTCTCCACAGCCTGCGAGCCGTGTGTGAAGAGAAAGTTGCTGAGGAGTTTGAGGCTTGCAGCAAGCATCCAGATTTTGGAAAACTGGGTGCTCATCAACTGGCCCGAATCTTGAAAAGAGAAGATCTGTGTGTGTCCAGGGAGGAAGGGGTCTTAAAGGGCATCTTGAATTGGCTAAAGATCTCAGACGACAGAAAGGTCTTTCTAGGCATGCTGCTGCAGCTTGTGGATTTCCAGTCGTTCTCTCTTGAGAACTTGCTTCGAGCCGGCCGCTTCACTCTATCCGGTCCAAGCGCGGCAGAACTGCACCAAGAGCTTGAGGATGCATTGCAGATTCGGCATCGAATGCGAGCTCAAAGCTCCCAGAGCTCACTGGACTTTCGGCCAAGGAGACGGTGTTTGAAACATTGGACTCCGGATTTGGGTGCCAGCGCTGAAGCTTGGAGAGAAGTGTTGCCCATGCCTTGCAACTCCTTGTGCTGGCACGAAGGCCACATCTGCATCGCTGACTTTGAAGGCAACGTCTTTTGTT